AGATTCCATCTCCTGCAGGCCCCAGCTGCAGCAGTCAGCGCTGGCTGGACAGCGGACACTGCCCCCCAGTGGACCTGTGCCTCCCTCCAGTGCTGCCTGGTTGGGTTGTCAGGACAGGGCGGAGCCAGCAGCAGGCAGAGGGTGAGGCGGAGAGGTGAGCTGGGCCCCCTGGGCCGAGGGCCTGGCTTAGAGAAGCGGAGCTGAGGCGAGCCTGTGCTTGTCCCCTGCAGACGCAAGGAGGGCTGGGACACTTGCCCGTTAGGCCGGCCACCGTTTACTTCCTGGAAACCAGTCATCAGAGCCAGTTCCCGTGGAGCGGACTCAGAGCGAATGCACTGTCCACACACTCCCTTCCCCCTGCCCGGCCCCCCGCCCCCTGGACGATGCGGCCGCCCCATGTCCGCTCTCGGCCGGTCCCGGGCATGGTGTCCTTGGTGCGGCCAGTCCAGAGCCCCCATCGTCTGTCCCGGCAACGGCGAAGGGGCCTTCGGTGAGCGGTGTCTGCAGGTGAGGCCGCTGGGACCAGCACTTCCCTTTGTCACGAGGGGTGTGAAGTGCAGACACTACGGCCAGCAGCCGCCTTCCTGCCTGTGGCCTGTGGGCGGGCAGCCAGCTGACTCCCTGCACAGAGCCCGCTGCTCCTCTCCACCTCTGCCCGTCTCTCAGGGCCACCTCTGTGCCCGTGTCTGAAGGGCTGTCCTCTTCTCCATCCTGTCTCTCTGACGGACTGACGGCGCCAGCACTGCCTGCGGGTTGGTCAGCGGCCCTGTGGGTTCCCGCGCTGTCATGTCTCACACTGGGAGGCGCCACCCACCCTGGGCCCTCGCAGCAGAGCGGGCGCAGGTCTGCAGGGCTCCTGGCGACGGGCTCCACGTGCCCTGCTCCCCTCTGTCCCAGCCGCCCGGGCATCCTCTCCCTCGGCCTTCTCCCCCCATCTGCGCTGCCCCCAGCCACAGACACACCCAGCTGGGCAGCTGTGGTGGGAACCCGGATGGCCTGGTTTGGGCAGAGGGACTGGCCACTTAGGCTTTTTGTGCCTCAAATTTCTCATCCAGGAAGTGACCTCCCAAGGTCACAAGACGCTGGGACTGAGAGGAGGGGACGCAGGCCGGGATGAGGCCACCCCCTTGCTTTAAGTCCTGCTGTCTGCAGTGTCTCCCTTCGCTCTGACAAGGGGATCAGTGACAGGAACTGCAGGGCGAGCAGTTGAGTGGGCAGCAGGGGACTAGCCTTGGGGCTGCGGGACACGTCTCTCCTGAGGGTACAGAGGTCAAGGCCCACTCCCCTCCACGTCTCCAGCAGGCACCCCTCATGGGGTCGCTCTAGGAGGAGAACTCCAGGGATAGGTCTCTCCTCCCCGACCCAGTCCTCTCAGTCCCCGCAGTTCCTGGCACCATGAAGCTTGGAGGGCCTTCCCTTCTGGAAGCTGCTGGGGAAAGTCAGCGGGCACGCCTTCCAAGCCTGCACCCTTCCTGCCGAGCGCTAGCGCCCGCTCCCAGCGTGGCTCACTCGCTGACGACAGGTCGCGGCAGGGACAGGTCAGGGCCAGCAGAGGACCTCTGGGAAGGGCCCCTGCGGAGTGCTCTGTGGCGCGGAGCCCTGGCTGGGACCACAGAGCGGGACAGCAGCCTCAGGTGCAGATCGTGGGCGGGCGCTCACCTGTCTCCCGAGGGTGACGCAGTCCGGAGCCGCGGGCGCCGTGGCGAGATGCTTCTCCAGCTCAGACACCTGCTTCTGCAGCTCCCGCACCTCCAGGTGCACCTGGTCCACCTCGTGAGCCAGCTCCTGCCGGCCCGCGTCTCCCTGCAGGGGCTCCCGCAGCACCTGGGCGTCAGAAGGCCGTCAGGGAGGCCGCGGGGAGCGAGCGAGAGGGCGGCTGGGAGCGACGCGAGGGGAGGGGCAGGCGGAGGAGCGGGGCCCGGAGCAGCAGGTAGAGGGTAAAGAACCAGCACAGAGCGAGGCCCATTCTAGCCTCAGAGGGTCAAGTGCAGCGACCCTGTCAGGGATTCCTGGCAAGTGCCATGCTCCTCGAACGGGTCACACACACGCTAACAAGGGGAGCACTGGATACACAGACGCCGTTCCTTAAAAGTAAACAAAACCGCCGAAACCAGGTTGGCTCAGTGGATGGAGCGTCGGCCTGTGGACTCAAGGGTCCCGGGTTCGATTCCAGTCAAGGGCATGTGCCTTGGTTGTGGGCACATTCCCAGTGGGGAATGTGCAGGAGGCAGCTGATCGATGTTTCTCTCTCATCAATGTTTCTAGCACTCTATCCCTCTCCCTTCCTCTCTGTAAAAAATCAATAAAATATATTTTTAAAAAATAAATAAAAATAAACAAAACCACGCCCAGGTGAACATGTCCCAAGCTGAGCAAATCATCTGTGGTTTCAGGACAAAGTGAGAGCCCAACCGCGACCTTGCACGGGGTGTAGCGTGTGCGTGTGCGTGTGTGTGCGTGTGTGCGTGTGCGCCTGAGACTCCACATGGGTGGGCCTGGAAAGCATCACAGATGTGTCCCCCTTGCCCACATGTGCTTACAGAGCTGTGTCCCACGCACAGGAAGTGAAATGTATTTTCAATCGGATTCCCCACGCTGCCCACTGAGCACCCCGCCCATCAGAGACCGGTCGGCACAGCAGGTCAGGCGGTACCTTTTCTCGGAGCCGGGCCACCAGGAAGCTCAGCAGACGCGCCCTGTCTCCCAGCCGCCTGAGCACCAGCCCCAGCCCCAGGGACGCGCCATCAGCCACCAGGGCTCCTCCTGCAGAGAGAGACTCCGTCCGTCAGGAAGTCGTCCAGGGCGGCGCAGCTCTGTCTCCTCTGCCTCTCCTGCCCCCTCAACGGACGGGAGGAAGAGTGACCGGAGGGCCCGCGGAGAGAGAAAAGGAAGAAGGAGGGCACCTGCTGCGAGGGCTACGGAGGGGCACGGACTCGGACTCCGCGGGCGAGGGGACAGCGGCTGGGAATGGGGGTGAGGACAGGAGCTGGGAATGGGGGTAAGGGGACAGGAGCTGGGAATGGGGGTGAGGGGACAGCGGCTGGGAATGGGGGTGAGGGGACAGCAGCTGGGAATGGGGGTGGGGACAGGAGCTGGGAATGGGGGGGAGGGGACAGCAGCTGGGAATGGGGGTGAGGGGACAGCAGCTGACCCGGGGCTGGGAATGGGGGCCTGAGCTTGGCGGCTGCCCTGGGGTGACTGTTTAAAAGAAAGATGGCACTCGTGCTCGCTTCGGCAGCACATATACTAAAAGAAAGATGGCACTGCTGGGGCGGACTCTCACCGGGGGCGTCTGCTGTGGTGCCGGCACTGGGCTGGGCGTCTGCGGGAGACGAGGGTGTCTTCGAAGGCTGCAGTGCCTCTCCCAGCTGCTCCTCCAGGGTTTTGAACTTACCCTTCAGATTTCGTATTTCTGCTTCCAGAGCCAGAACATAACCTGACAAAAACCCACCTGTGAACACGGGCACAGGCACGGACACACCCTGCGAAGCCCGGCATCCCAGGGCAGGGCTCCCCCAGCCAGAGGGGCTGCCCTGCCCCACCCTGTCCGCCCTCGGTGTGGGCACCCAGGTGCCTCTCTCCCCATCCCCAGAACACCGTGTCCAGGGAGCCGCTGTCCAGGCTCTCAGGGAGGGCTCAGCAGCCGGAGCAGACATCATCCAGACAGCCCCACAGAGAGCCCCACAGCCCAGGGCCCCCGAACTGGGCGGCGTGCCGAACCGGGCGCTGTCCCTGCTCACTTTCTCTTCCTCTTCACCAAGAAGCTTCTATCCTACGCGTAGAACTGATATAAGGCCCTCCCAGGAGGCCGTCCACCACGGGACGTGCACCTCTCAGAGCCCAGGGCCGCGTCTGGTCTCCCCGCTCACCGGGCGCTGCGTCTGCCGGGGAGCCTGAGGCTGCCGCGTCTCCCGCTGGCGGGGCAGGGGGAAGCAGCTGCTCGCTCAGAGCCTCCATCTCGGCCCTCATCTGCGCAACCGCATGGCGCAGGCTGGCGTTCTGCTCCTGCAGCCGCTGGATCTCCCCGGACGGGAAAGGCGCGCTCGCCTCCTCCCCCTGGCGCGGAGGGGGCCCCTGCACGCCGGGAGGGGAGATGTTAAGTGCCAGCGAGGCCTGGCCCGCACCACCGGCTCCCTGCACCCTCTCGAACCCTGCCGCGGCCTTCCTTCCTCAGCTAAAGGCATGTGAAGCTCTCTTCCCTCTCAGTCTCACAAACAAGACAGTTTGGGGGGCGAAGGGGCTCGTCCTTTTCAGTCAAAAAGCCACGAGTCACTGGCTAGCTGCCTGTGACGTAAAGACACTGCAGCGAGGCCGTGGGGAAAGGAACTCTGTGCCCTGGGATAGGGCGGCGCCCGCGGCCGCTGGGAGATGCCTGGGGTCCTCAAACAGCTGCCCCGGCTGTGCTCTGCCCCGCAGTGCACTCCGGGGCGGGCCCGGGGGAACAGGGTGGGCCTACACGGAAGCGGCCAGATGTGGGCGCCCTCACATGTCCCCCGTGGGTGCCTGAGCCACAGAACACGGCCTGGGGATGGGCTCAGCATGGACAGGGATGGACCAGGAAGGTCTGAGAGGGACAGTCCAGGGTTTAAAGCACCATCGCCACACACCTGCACAGGGCCCGAGGAAAACAAGAGCAGGGAAGAGCCAGTTAAGGCCAGCCAGCGCAGCTCAGGGTCGATCGGGCCAGGGCACAGGCCCAGGCTGTGCTCCCTCCACAGTGGGGGGCGTGCAGGAGGCAGCCGGTCAGTGAGCCTCTCATCACTGGTGTTCCTCTCCCTCTCCTTCTAACCTCCCTTTCTGACATCAATAGAAATATATTAATGGAAACAAAAGAACCACAGGGCATCTACAGAGATGAAATGTACGTCATCCGAAACAAAAACTGACCGTAGGACAGGCTCAGAGCAGATCAGAGAAAAGATGGAGAGCATACACAACTGACGCTCAGACTCAGCACAAGCAGACACAGGAGCCCAGGCCAGTGCCCGGCAGCAGGGGGATTAGACACCCGGGGGCAGGGCGCTCACCGCCACTTCCTGCTCTGGACCAAGCCCGTGGTCCCTCAGGGCCTGCAGGGCCTGGTCTCTCTCTAGTGTCAGGGCCCTCAGCACCACCTCCTGGTCTCGCAGCCTCTGCTCCGCCTCCTGGAGCTTGGCGGCGACCTGGGGAAAGGCGCACTCGTCACCTGGGGATCAGGAGAGCAGCGCCAGCTCCGTCCACGCCAGCGCCCAAGAGGCAGCCAGAGCAGCCCGAAGAGAAGTGCCACGGAGACACGTGGTGCCCGGGTGCCCCTCAGCACCGGGCAGCCACGGGACCCGGACGTCGCCGCCCTCCCGCCCACCACCCATTGCCCCACCAGGGAATGAGACACGGGCAAGGCGGTGGCAGGCAGGGACACGCTGATCACAGCTCTGCTGTCAGGGCACACACTCTGGAGGACATGTTTCCAATGACAGGGCGGCTGGTGAGGCCCAGACCCCCTCGGGGACGCCGCGGCCGGGGGAGGGGAGCGCACCTGCGCCCTGGCCGAGGCCAGCCCCTGCACCAGCCCCTCGGACTGGTGGTAGTGGTCGCGCTCGAGGCCCTCACAGCGCCGCTGCCAGTCCAGGCCCAGCTGCACCTTGTCCCGCTCCAGGCTCTGCTCCCTCTCCACCGCCAGAGACAGCTCCCGCTGGTACCTACGGGGTCAGAACCACGAAGTGAGCATCGCCCCGGCCCCCAGGGCCACGATAAACAGGTTTCACACCTGTCAGCAGCCGGCAGAAACCTGCGAGGACAGAGGCGAGACCTCGTGGATCCCTGGGCCTGAAGTGTTCACACAGCCCAGCCTGGTCCCCATCAGACAGTCACACCCTAAAGCCACAAACAGATATGCACACAATAGTTCTCTGTCCAGAACAGAATTAAGTTAGAAATGGGTAGTAATGCCCTAACCGGTATGGCTCAGTGGATAGAACATCGGTCTGTGGACTTAAGGGTCTCATTTCGATTCTGGTCAGGGGCACATACTTTGGTTGTGGGCTCATCCCCTGTAAGATGTTTCTAACTCTCTATCCCTCTCCCTCTCAGTAAAAAATCAATTAAAAAATATATATATATATGTATTTTTTAAAAAAATATATTGTATTGACTTTTTACAGAGAGGAAGGGAGAGAGATAGAGAGCTAGAAACGTCGATGAGAGAGAAACATCGACCAGCTGCCTCTTGCACACCCCCTACTGGGGACGTGCCAGCAACCAATGTACATGCCCTTGACCGGAATTGAACCTGGGACCTTTCAGTCTGCAGACCGACGCTCTACCACTGAGCCAAACTGGTTTCGGCCTAAAATATATTTTTAAAAAAGGAATCAGTAGTAACAAAATGGTACCTGAAAAATCCCAAAATGGAAGGGAATTAAGCAACACCTTTCTAAGTAACCCATGGGCCTGGGGGAGGGGTCTAATGCAGGTTGACAGAAGATCAGATTTTGGGTGGTGAGCACACAGTGCAACATGCAGATCTTGTAACATAGAACTGACACGTGGAACCTGTATGTTCATGTGAACCAATGTCATCCCAACCAAGTTAACTAAAAAAGGGACCCATAGACCAAAGAAACACCCCAGGGAAATCAGAAATAATTCACGGACTCCAATGAGGACCCTGAAAGACACTCCCAGCATTACACGCTTGCGTTTCTTTGCAAAGGGGTCACGCCCTTACAGTCCAGACTCCACCAGGGGAGCCACCAGAAGAGCTAGGAGTTCCAGCCGAAGGAACAGAAGGCCGTACCCCAGGGGAGCGCAGGTATCGGGAAGACTGAAGACAGAAAGACGGGAAAATCTCTCCATCTGTTTCTTGTCTTTCTTCCCCAACAGGATGTGAAAGGGACTCAGTGCCATGATGAGGGCGCCGTGACGCGGTCCGAGGGGACATCACCTGCCCACGTCCTGCTGGCACCGGGCCAGCTGTGCCCGCAGCTGCGCCGTGTCCTCCTGCAGCGACTGGACCTGCAGGTCCTTGGAGGTCGTCTCCTTCGACAGCTGAGCGAGCTGCGCATCCCAGCCGGCTCTCAGCGCGGACGCCTCTTCCCGGAGCCTGGGCAGGAAGGCAGCTGGAGTGGGTGAGGTTCTTGGGCGAGATCTCACACCCAGCAGACACTCGCGCACTCACTCACACTCACACCTGCACGTACTCATGCACACACACACTCACACTTGCACGCACTCATGCACACACTAGCACTCACTCTTGCACATGCATACGCACACACACACACACACACGCACACTTGCACACACACGTAGTCCTCAGGGAGATGCTGCAGATCATGCCAGGGAGACCTCACTGAGAGGAGCAGAGGGACCACCCCACCCCTGCACCCCAGGGACCGGCTGAGCCCCTGCGAGGAGCCGGGCCTGTCCCTGGTTCTCAGGCCATCCTTGTGCCCCGCGCCTGCCTTGCACAGCACTCCACGTGGACATTCAGTGTGTATTTTCAAACTGAATAGTAAAATGAGGGTCTATACTGACCTTAAGTTCCCCAGTAAAATCACCGAAAACCGGGTAAATTTCACAAGAAAGCCTTAGGGAGGGGAGGGGAGGGGAGGGGAAGGAAGGGGAGGGGAGGGGAGGGGAGGGGAGGGGAGGGGAGGGGAGGGGAGGAAGTGCCGCAGACCTGGGAGGCCCGGCACCAGCAGGCACACACTCTGTGAGTAAGACTCGCGCCAGCTTCTCCGCCCACCCACTGTCCCACCGAGTGGATCAAGAACCACCACGGGAGCCTCAGGAGGCCACTGAGCAGGCTGTGCCTCCTGGTGTCCATGCCGCGGTTCCTTTAAGCAGAATCAGCACTGGCAAAGCCTCGTCAGGAGGAGACAGGCATTCTCGCCAACAGGAGCGCGGTGCTAAGCACGTGACACTGGAAGTGCGTTATTTAATTATCTCCGTGAGCCCGCTGGAGACCGGAGCTCCATCCAGCCCAATTACAGAGGTCTCCTGTGGGCACGGTCCCCCTGGGCGCCCGGCGCCGTGGGACACAGGTGGCTGGGAAGCCGGGAAGAAACCAGCTCAAAGCCGAAACCTGTTCGACTCAGTGGATAGAGCGTCAGCCTGCGGACTGAAGGGTCCCAGGTTCAATTCCGGTCAAGGGCATGTACCTTGGTTGCGGGCACATCCCCAGTAGGGGGCATGCAAGAGGCAGCTGATCTATGACTCTCTCATCAATGTTTCTATCTCTTTCCCTTCCTCTCTGTAAAAAATCAATAAAATGTATATTTTTTTTAAAAAAAGGAAAAAAAAAAAAAAAGAAACCAGCTCAAGGAGAAACGGGCCCACGGGTGCATCTGCCGTGGAAACCTGGCTGGCGGTTCCTTACAAGTAATCTACTTCCCACCCAACTCAGCACACCACTTCTGGGCCCGACTGAACGAAGCTGAGCGGAGACCAAACAGACCCAGCGCCATGCTCCCGGCAGGGCTCCCAGCAGCCAGTGGGCAGACACCATCACAGATGCTGGGTAAACAAAGGGCGCCCTCCACAGGACACAGCGTAACCCGAGGGCGGGCAGGCCCTCAGAGCCAGGCTCCGACAGAGGGAGAGTGGGGCGGAGTGCGAGTGCGTGGTGACAGGCTGTCTGGGGAACAGGCTCTGAGGGTTGAGCGTGGTGATGGCCTCACAGCAGCATGCAGTGCTCAATGCCAGATGCTCTCCATTTACCACAAACGGCTGCGCACCTTCCATGCGTACCAACTGCACAATCTCACAACCGGACTGTCACGGTGTGACCCACGCCAGCCCCCTGGGCCCAGCCCCGCACTCACTTGTCCATGGCGGCGTCCTTCTCCTTCAGGGCGTCCGCCTGCCTCCACTCAGCCCTGCGCACCTGCAGCTCCAGGGCCTCGCACTGCGCCTGCAGCTCCAGCACCCGGGCCTCCAGCGCCCGCAGCTGCTCCGCGTGAGCGCCCTTCACCGACGCCAGCACCGCGTCCCTCTCCCTGGCCACACGGTCGAGCTCCTCGTGCCTGTGAGACGGAGAGCGTGTGTCCCGAGAGGAAGCCGTGGTGTCCCTGCTGACGGCGGGGCTCCAGGGCCAGTGCTTTCCAGTCTCACTCCGCGCTGCATGCCGTGTTCTGAGCACACCCTCAGGCACCACAGACAGCTGTGGGGGAGGAGCCCGCACAGCCGCCGGGCTCACAGCACTGAGTGTGCGAGCGTCTCCTGGGAAGCGGAGCGGGGAGAGGGGGGGGCCGGGGCCCTCGGGTGCAGAAGCACAGGCTCCATTCCGTCTCAGCCTCCCAGGCCCGCGGTTCCAGGCCCCTCTGAGCAGGAGGCGTCAGCCCCACGTCAGTCTTCGTGAAGCCCACCGCGTGCACCGCCTCTTCTCTGGCGCACGGTCTATCGCAGTTGCACGTCACTTGAGCCGTGGGCGTGCCAATTGGTAGAAGAGGAGCCCAGGAGAGGACAGACGGCCTCTTAGCATTCCTGACTGTATGGTCTTCCTGTTGTTTTGTGTAACGCCTTCATTTAGGAGCAGAGCCTGTGACCACAGCCAAGTCTGTTTGGTTCCGAACACGTGCCTGCTGCCTGCAGGAGGCGCCATTCTACCGGATAACGCTGCCTGGGAGGAGCGGGGACAGGAGCCGAGGAAAGGGCAGTGAAGCTTCCACAGCCAAGTGTGGGCTCCGCACTTTAAATACATGTTTGCTGAGTTCAGACAGTGACGAGGGAGAATCATGGAGCGGCTGCCTCCTGCACACCTCCTACTGGGGATGGAGTCCACAACCTGGGCCTAGGCCCTGACTGTGACCTCTGTGACCTCCTGGTTTCTGAGTCGAGGCTCAACCACTGAGCCACACCGATTGGGCTGCACTTTTAATGTAATGGAAGTGGGTGTGCCACGCCCTGGCACCTAGACAGTACTGTAAGGTGCTGGAAATGACATTGATTCTCAGCTATTTCAGTTGGTAATGTAAGCGGTTCGGGATGCACACTTGAAAACACAGCGAGCTGAAACCGGTTTGGCTCAGTGGCTAGAGGGTCGGCCTGTGGACTGAAGGGTCCCAGGTTCAATTCCGGTCATGTACTTGGTTGGGCACATACCCAGTGGGGGGTGTGCAAGAGGCAGCTGATGGATGATTCTCTCTCATTGATGTTTCTAACTATCCCTCTCTCTTCCTCTCTATTTAAAAAAAGAAAAAAACACAGCAAGGGGAACAGGTCTCTCCACCTCCCCTGCCCACGCCAGGCACTCACGGGCAGCCCTGCTGCAGCCCATGTCGCCCACGCCACGGACACGGGGCCAAAAACACTCACTTCCTCCGGAAGGTCTCCTGCTCCGTGTTCCGGGTGAGCTGCACGGACTGGAGCTTGTCCTCCAGGTCTTTTATCCTGAGAAGAACCGAGTGTGAGTGGAAAGCCGCCGCCGTGGCCAGGCCCCCGGGCCCGGAGGGAGGGACCCGCACCGGGCGTCCTTCACGGCGGCGAGGTCCCGCAGCTCCCAGGCAGCTCGCTGCAGCTGCTCCTCCAGCTCCGCCTTGGCCTCCTGCGCGTCCTGCAGGGCCCCGGCCGCCTGGGCCCCGGCCTCCCTCAGCGCCGCCAGCTCCTTGGTCAGAAGCTTCACCTGGAGACATGAAGAGGCTTCAGGACGAGGCTGTGAGCACCACCCATCGGGATCGGGATCGGGACCGGAAGCCGGCAGCTCCCGGGGGGCCCACGGCCCTAGGACAGCACCGCACCCCACGGGGCCACGTGACCCAGCCGGCCAGTGTTCCTGCTCCACTTCCTCTCGTGTGGTGTGAATTCTCTTTAGGTCCGGACTCACAGACAGTGGAGGCTGGGAATGCGGCTGAAATCCTGCACACTCCATTTTAACATAACCCCTCTGCCTGTTTCCTCGACTAACATGCGGGGACAGAACACCTGCTGCCCTGAACAGCTCCGGTGTGAGCTCTGCTGCCCTGGGGCAGCGTGCTGGGATCTGGAACCTTCTCGCACAGCATGGGGGGCAGGGCCTGCAGCTGGGACTCCCACAGCACCCCCAGCGGCCTCCTTACAGGAGTGTCCTCCTCTCCCCTGGCACTTGGAAGTCCCCACAGTGGCCGGCTGAGGGTCACTGTTGGCAGCCCAGCCTTGCGATCTGGATGCCTCTGGCCCTGGGGCAGGCGGGGCCCACAGGCTCTGGTGTCTGTGCCAGGAACTGAGACTAGGGATGGGCTCCAGCCATGGAGAACCACAGGGTCCTGGACCCCTGATGGTGAGTGCTGCCCATGGACTGCAGGCCTGGGGGAAGCTGGCAGCGGGGCAGCCTTGCTGACCACTAGGGCTGGGCTTCCGTCCCACGAGCCCCAACCAGGGCCGCTGGGTGGGCCAGGCGTCGCCCCTTTCACCTCCCCTGCACGGCTCCCTCCCCTCAGGCTGGTCCTTGCCTCTGGCCGTGTGGCCTCACCACTAGAGGCCCTGGCAGACACCGTTACCTTGAGCTCGTGGGTCAGGACGGTGTTGCTCATGCTGTCGGCGTGCAGCCGGAACCCGTGCTCACGCTTCTGCACTTCAGATTCGAACTCCAGCAGCAGCTCCTGGGGGTGGGGGTGGGATGGGAGAGGGTGAGCGGGCGGGACAGCCGGACCCAGGGTGGACATGGAGCCTCGGGCATCTCGGAGGGCAGGCCTGGTGGCAGGCCGTCCTGCAGCTGCAATGCCTCGCTTTCTGCCCCTCTGCCTGCACACACTGAACTGCAGGCAGCCCAGGGCGAAGCGTGAAGGCTGAGGACCAGACACGAGCCCTGCCAGACCACCACTCCGAACAGCTTTGCCGAGGGTTCTGGGCCTCCGTGAGCCATGCTCACGACCACCAGTCACTCCTCTGACCTGCTGGTTTCTTGCTATGACAGACAGGCAACTAGTTGGTCAACCCTACCCCACGCCGCCCGTTACCCTGGGCCCTTCCCAGCTTCGCCCACGGCTCGTTCTAAAGGCAGACGCCATAGACCAGTGGTTGGCAAACTCATTAGTCAACAGAGCCAAATATCAACAGTACAATGGTTGAAATTTCTTGAGAGCTAAGTTTTTTAAACTTAAACTATATAGGTAGGTACATTGTTATTAACTTAATTAGGGTACTCCTAAGCTGGCCTTTGCTAAAAACTCAAGGTGCCGAAGAGCTGCACGTGGCTCACGAACCACAGTTTGCCGACCACTGCCATAGACCATGACGGCGATAATCCGCCCCTTCCCACCAGCAGTGCGCATCCCAGCGCCCCCGGCACGCCCAGCCGTTCTCCTGGCATTTGAAGCAGCCTCCTCCCACCCTCCTCTGTGCTTCTCGGTGTCAGTCCTGCTCCCTCCGTCTTCTTAGTGGCGCCCCTTCCCGGGATGCACCCCGCAGTTTGCCCTTCCTCCCCCATACAGCCTCCGGGTCCCGCTGGCTGAGCCACTGCACAGCTGCCCCGGCCTGTCCCTGCAGCCCCTGCAGCCCCTCTCCTGGGCCCCTCCTGCTGGGAAGAGGCTCCTGCCCCCAGGATGTCCCCCAGTGTGACAGCTGGGCCCACCCGTCAGGTCCTGCCTGCAGGTACGGGAGCTGGGAGCCCAGCACTTCGGCCTCTGACCCATCTTTCAGGCTCACTGGCTCTGCCTCCTGTGAGCGTGCAGCTGGGCTGCGGTCAGGGTGGGGATCCAGTGTGCAGAGCTGGGACCGGGCTTCCCCAGAGGGTGGGTGGGTGTAGACAGAGGAGCCATGAGTGCTGAGCCTCGTGATTTGGGATGCAGGGAGCCTGCGGTCGGGCCTCACACCTGCCCGTCATGAATGCCCGGCTGTGGCTCTCAGATGGGACTGAAAAGCCGACCCTTTTCTGTTTGTAGCCTCTGAGGAGCAAAACGAAGTACCCAGGTCATGTGAGTAACCCTACTGGAACCGGAATGTGAACATCCTTGCATTCTCTCGTCCTGAGGTGCTACAGGCCCAAGCACTGCCGTCTGTGGCCGCCAGGGGGCAGGCGGAGCCCGGACTGTGACAGAGGGAAGTCAGCCCAGGACCAGAACCCCGGCCCGCAATGCTGCTGCAGCCATGGCTGGCCTGTCCCCACCTCATGCAGCCCCTGGGGACCTCTCCGGCTCACCCCCTGCCAGGGCTCTGCAACCCAAGTGCCCCCTGACCTGGCCTCACCCCGAGGTTCAGCCCCCACACCTCCTCTGTCTACACCCACCCATCCTCCGGGGAAGCCCAGGTCCCAGCTCTGCACACGGGGACCCTCACCCTGACCGCAGCCCTTCTGCTGGGATCCCACAGAGGACAGTTACCGGTGTCGTCCTCCGGACCCGGGACACCGGGCGGGCAGTCCGCGCAGGGCCGAGCGAGCCTCCTACCTGCCTCTGCAGAGCCAGCTCGCCGTCCAGTTCCTGGAGCTTCCTCTCCAGCTGCCACTTGAGCTTCTCGTACTGTTCCCGCTGGCGATCGACCTCCACATTCTTGTCGCTGGCAAGGACAGCAGCAGCAAGGGGAGCCCCATGAGCAGCGCTCAGAGGACGAAGCCCAGAGCCGTGAGCGTGAGCTGGTACTTCGCTTTGGCAGGGGCGGCTTCAGCAGGGCCCAGGGCAGCACGGACACCCGCCCGGAGCCTACACACCACGGGCCTGCGCTGCCTGGGCCTATGCTTTGACCAGAACCGAAGAGGGACATCTTGGTGTAGGGGCTGACGCCGCCCACTGAGCACCCTGGCCCAGGCCACAGGGTCCTGTTTACCAGGAGCGGGATGGCCTGATGTCAGCATCTCACTACTGGGAGCGTGATGGAGACACTGCCTGCTCCAGAGAGGCAGGACCCGGTGGGGTGGGGTGGGTGGCCAGCGCTGTGCCTGTCGGGGAATGGGCCCGGCACCCATCCCACAGGCGGGCGTGTGAGGGAGGCGCAGGTGCCCCACCTGTGGGCCTGCTCCAGTGCCAGGCGGTGCTCCTGCAGCTTCAGCTGGAGCTGCTGCTGCAGGTCCTCCCGCCGCCGGGCCTCCGTGGCCAGCGCCTGCCGCAGCTTGGCCGCCTCGATCTTGAGCTCACTGGCCTCGGCCTGCCAGGCCTCCTGCAGCCTCTGCGCCTGGGCGAAGGCGGCGTCGTAGCGCTCCAGCTCCCGGTCCCGCTCCTCCAGCAGCTGCAGGTTGTACATGAAGTCCTCCTGCAGGCGCCGCAGCCGCCCCTCAGCCTCCTCCAGCCGGCGCTGCGTGCCCTGCAGCGCCGCCTCCTGCAGCCGGGCGCGCTGGGCCTGCAGCGCACGCCACTCCTCCTCCTTGCGAGCCAGCAGCTCGCTCAGGGCCTGCTCCGAGGGTGGCGGCAGCATGGGGGCAGCTGCAGGGAGAGGGGGGCGCGGGCTCGTGAGGGAGGCACTGTCCTCACACAGGAAGCAGCTCGGGGCCGGCTCCCCGCTGACGCCCTCCGGGGCAGTGAGCTCTGCCTGTGTACCCAGCCCCCCGCACAGACAGGTGCTCAGTAAACCGGAAGAAAGAGAAGGGAGGAAGGAAGGGGAAGAGGGGAGCAAGGAAACGCCTCTCAGGATGGGAGCGGATCTGGACCGTGAGCCCCTGGCCCGGGGCTGGGCATGGAGCAAAGCCCACTCCCTCCGCCGCCTCCCCCTGAGCCCGGGCCCAGCTCCTCTGCCCCCTCCCTTTGGACCGGGCTCAGGGCCCCGTGAGGGCGCGGTAATGACACCAGGAGGCTTCACGGGAGTCGCTGTGGAGGGGAGAGGCCTCCGTCCTCGGAAACCGGCCTGGGCTCACTCGCAGGGGTGAGGGCTGACGGTGAGCACCCTGCAGCACGCCTCCCCGGGCCGTTCCACAAAACAGGCGGACCTGCCGAAGCCGGTGTGGCTCTGTGGATAGAGCCTCGGCCTGCAGACTTAAGGGTCCCAGGTTCGATTCCGGTCAAGGGCACGGGCCTTGGTGGCAGGCACATCCCCAGTAGGGGGTGTGCAAGAGGCAGCTGGTGGATGTTTCTCTCTCATCGACGTTTCTAACTCTCTGTCTCTCTCTCTTCCTCTCTGTGAAAAATTCAATAAAATATATTTAAAAAGAAAAAAAAAAAAAAAACAGGCGGACCTGAGCGGCTCGGGGCAATGGGTGCCCACTGAGGGCCGGGAGCCGGGCCAGAGTCCTCTCCCGGGGCCTCCGGGTCAGGGGGACGGGGCTGGGCGGGTGCCGGCGGGGCGGGGCGGGGAGAGGCTAACGGTGCACAGGGGCTGTGTGCTCAGCGCCGCGGGCCCAGCCTGCGGGGGCCCCGCCGGACCCGCCAAACCGGGCTCTGGGGGCGCAGACCGGGCCGGACTTCAAAGCCCGAGCTTTTCCACGGAAAGCGGCCGGAAGCGGCGAGTGAGGCCCCGCCCCGCCCGCGCCCCGCGCCCGCACCTCACCCGGAGCGCCCGCTGGAGCCTCCGCCTGTCCCGCCGCGTTGCCATAGCAACGCGAGTCCGTCCCCAGGGTCCGGGCGAGCTTGGTGCAGCGCTTGGGTCCCGCCGGCCAGAAACACAAGCCGGACTTCTTCCGGTTCCCCCCGCCGGCCACACCCTGTCTGGCACCCGGGCGTCAAGGGGCGCGGGGGCCCCGCCGGCTCAGCGGGTCAGCCCGGGGAGGAGGCCCGGGCCGCCGGGGGTGGCGGGGAGGGCGGGAGGCGACCGAGGCTTCACCCTCTGAGCTCGGGCGCCGGAAGCGAGCTCCCGAGGGTGGATGCGCGGGCGCGGGCGGGGCGCACTGGGCCGGGCTGCCCGGCGGGGCGCGGGGCGCGGGGCCCGGTTGGTTGGTGAGGATTTGCCCGCTCGGGGACACGCCCAGCTGGCGCCTCAGTTCGTGGGTTCAGGAAGAAGCGCCCACTTTTGCAGGCACCGGAGCTGCCGCCGGGCGCCGTCCCAGCGCCTGCGCGTCCGGAGGCGGGAGGGCCGGCCGCCCCAGTGGAGACACAGCGGGAGCGCAGTCCTCCCGGCGGGGCACCGCGGGCTCCGGGCAGTGAGGGGCACAGAGGCTGGGACCTCCTGCCCAGCTCGTGCCGAGTCCCTCCGGCCCGTCTCTGTGGACCCACCCGGATGGCACGCCCGCCGTCCAGGGCTGGTTCCCAAGCCGGCCCCGCCAGCGCAGAACAAACGGCCCACCCAGTCAGCCCTAAAATAAGGTGGCCAGACGTCCCGCTTTTTAACAATTTGTCCCACGTCCGGTGGCGTTTTTGAGAAGTCCAAAAGATTTAAAAGAGTCTTTCCAAAAATCGCCAAAACCGGTTTGGCTCAGTTGATAGAGCATCAGTCTGCAGACTGAGGGGTCCAGGGTTCGATTCTGGTCAAGGGCATGTACCTTGGTTGCGGGCACATCCCTGGTGTGGGGTGTGCAGGAGGCAGCTGGTCGGTTTCTCTCTCTCATCCATGTTTCTAGCTCTCTCTCTCCTCTCCCTTTCTCTCTGTAAAAAATCAATAAAATATATATATTTTTTTAAAAAGAGTCTTTCCAAAAATGGGGACTTTTTAAAAACTCCTTGGGACGCGGGACAAACTGTTAAAAAGCGGGACGTCTGGTCACCTTACCCTGAAAGGCTGCGCCTTCGGAGGCAGCTCCTGGAGAGAGGTCCCAGAGTCCAAGGTCACAGGCAGATGGATGAGCCAGGCAGCCTGGGAGGTGGGTGAGGTGACTGTCACGGGAAGACACAGGAACAAGCTGTGGCCCATGGAGGAGCTGCGGAGGGGCCCTGACCTTTTACTTGCCGAGACAGAGCCCGGGTTCAAATCCCAACTACTCGCCTGCTTTGCTATAGCTTTCTGGGACTGGGTTTGCTTCTCTATAAAGCAGGGTGGCACCCTCCCTTCCCCATTGCTTTGTGGGTCAAAAACATGTGCTCTATAGGATACTGTTCAGTCCCAGTAAAGGGGCCCCATGGTGTGTGTGGACAAAAGGAGCCACATGCTAACCTGACAAGCTCAGTGGAGGCCTGTGTGGCAGTCTTGCAAACTCAGAGACCTAAAATAACCACCAAAGATCCTCTGAAAATTAAATATTTAACTACAAACTGATAGATTAAATAGAGAAGGTAGCCGGAGACCGGGATGGCAGGACACACGCAGGCTTTATTGGAGGGAAAGGTACCCCTGCCGGCTGCTTCCACGGAGAGGGGCGGAAGAGAGCGAGGGCAGGTACAAGCACCTTTAAGGATAGGGGGCGGGGCTTAGGGCACTCAGCACACGCTGATTGGTGATTAGGGACTAGGGACTTAGGAATTGGGGAGTTAGGGTGGCCGCAGGTGGGGTTTACGTCTGTCCATCAACTGGAGGAAGGGAGGATCTATCACAAACAGGTTATGGTGGGTAGTCATGTCCTAGGCCGATATTTTCCCGGACAAAGATCAACTTAGATCTTCTTTACTGAGCCCATTTGCCTTTTTGCCTCTAAGATAACATATCTGTGTGATGTCTGGGTAACTTGTAACTTCCTTTTTACCTCGGATCCCTCAGGGCACAGCAAATGGCACCTGGACATTCCCTCATTGTGATTGTTATCAAGTTAATTGTCAACTGTTAATTACGTTAAAACATCCTGTATCCATCTCTGTAAGAGGACCAGAGTCCATCATTTCACTTTTCACCCTATCCCAGGTGTTTCCCCCTTTGCTTTTTCCCACCTCCTTAATCTACCAACAATGAATTTCATGTAACTCACCTACTCCCTTTCCTTTGATTTCAGTGTATAGATATAGAAATGTGGCCCGCCATTCTCCGGAGCAATATCTCAATTCATTGAGGTCCTGATCCCAGCATATGTCAACAGTTGGGCTCAAATAAACTCACAAAAATTCTTTACAGGTTTCAATGTTTGCTTCTTTCGTTGACAGTGTGGCTCATCAGCCTATGAACAGGAGGTCACAGTTCCATTCCCCATCAGGCACATGCCTGGGTTGTGGGCTCCATCCCCAGTGGGACATGTGCAGGAAGCAGCCGATCCATGATTGTCTCTCTCATTGATGTTTCTCCCTCTCCCTTCCTCTCTCAAATCAATAAAAATGTTTTGTTTTGTTTTGTTTTTTAAATACGGCGAAATCCTAATAACTATGAGCACCACAGCTCACCATCTACGGCCTCTAACCCTGACCTGCCCCAAGCCCAGCATGAACCCTGACCCTAGCACTGACCCCAAAGATGGTCTTGGCACAGCATGGCATCTCTTCCTAACCCCCTCTCCCCAACTGGTTGAGGCTTCCAGAGTGCCAGAACCAGAAAGCTGCACCTTCTGCTCACCGCTGACCCCACACCTCACAGCCGGCAGTGCCTGTGAGGCTGTGTCTGGGGAATGGGGGACACAGATGGCTGGGCAAACCGCCCCTGGCAGAGTCCTGGGGGGAAGGGGTTCAGTGAACACAGGTGTGGCCAAGTGAGAGTGGTCACGTGAACAGGAGGGTGTGGTCATGTGATCAAAGAGTAGAACTGCGGAGAGTAGGAATGTGAGCAAAGGGGTGGGCCCACGTGAACAAGGGGGTGTGGCCACGTGAACAGAGAGGTGGGGTCAGTAAAAACAGAGATCCCCCCCCCTACACACACACACACACACACACACACACACACACACACACACACGCTGTGGGCCAGACTCTGGATGGCAGCAAGATGGCCCCTGCCCTCAGGCACAAGGGGTGCCCCGTGAACCAGGTAGCAGGCTGGCCCTCAGGGCCCGAGACCAGTAAGGGACTCTGGTGGGGGGAGGACAGAACCCCGGAAGGGACGAGGAGTTCGGGGCCCCACACAGCTGCCTCCCTGAGATCACAGGCTAGGGTCCCAGGACAGTCCAGTGAGAGATGCCCCGACGGTGGGCACCACGTGGGGCACCCGGCCACATGGACCCACGGGGCTGGCGTCCACCTTCCATGCCATCCTGCCCGCTTCGTAGAGGGCAGACTGTGAGCAGAAGGCGACTCCGGCTGTTGGGTCTTAGTCGAGAACCCAACCCAGAGCCAGGAGGTCCACCCCTCTATGCGAAGAGGAAACCAGCCCGGCCTGTGTGGCTCAGTGGTTCGGCATCGCCCTATGAACCAGGAGGTCACGGTTCAATTCCTGGTCAGGACATATGCCAGGTTCTGGGCTCAGTGTGGGATGTACAGGAGCCATCTGGTCCATGATCCTCTCTCATCGTTGATGTTTCTATCTCTCCCTCTCCCTTCCTCTCTGAAATCAATAAAAATATATTTAAGCCCTAACCAGTGTGGCTCAGTGGATAGAGCGTCATCAGCCTGCGGACTGACCAGTTCGATTCCGGTCAAGGGCATGTACCTTGGTTGCGGGCACATCCCCAGTAGGGGGCGTGCAGGAGGCGGCTGATCGAT